TAATATTTTTCAATATTTGCATGGTAGTAATTTGATTTTTTTTTGGGGGGGTAAGAGAGTTATTGTTTTTAAATTGCGAAGTATATCAAAGCCACTTGTAGCACTTAAGAATTATTTAATCATTAATTTTTTTATAAATGATTATTTAAAAGTTGTAGTGTGTTTCAATAACTATTGTGCAGTCATCCTTGCATTCGAGATTGTATTTTTATTTGTTTTATTATTTTTAGATAATACGGACTAAAAATATGGCGTTCGATTTGTTTAAGTCCGGATATTCTTGTTTATTTTTAATTTTATCGAAAATATTCTATTCTGTGCAAACATTTACCAATTTAGTGGCTATATATTCACTTGTATGTCTTTCGTCTAGTCCATATGCTCCTAATAATGCTGCGTTGAATTTATATTGATCTACAAAGTGAATAGTAACACCAATATAACTCCTAGTTTGGATGTCTATCCAAATATTTGTCGTTAAAGTGAAATATTGTACATTTTTTAATTTGGCCATAAAAATGTCCTTCATTGCATCATATTTTTTAAATGTTTTGCTAGAAATATATCGACAACTGGGTACTTTAAAATTTGGTGAAACTGTCTTCATTAAGTATTTAAACCCTTCATCTTTGACTATGATTAAAGGTTGATTGTCTTTACAAATCATAAACATAATTGCATGGATATTTTTTTCGGATTTGACATCACCTTTTTTGAACGGTGCCATAACACCAAATGATTCTGAAATCGTTTTTTGCCGTTTAAATACTCCCATAAAAGTTTTGTTGGATACGATATGATTTTTATTTTGTTCAATGGAACTTGCTGGTATATCATGAATCTTAGATGTTGATACCTCAGGAATCTCGGATACTGATGCCTCAGGACCCTTTGGTTTATTTTTATTAGATAATAAAGTATTTTTATGTTTAATAATTAAGGTTACCTATAAAATATGTTATGAAATAAATGTTGTGCTCACTTAGCGTACGATAAACCAGAATAAATATGCAAATGTTGAAATGCTTACAAATCCTAATGCTAATTATTTGAACTGAGATACCCACGTATTAATACTAAATATATTATACTCTACCTGATGATTCAATTTTTTTTGGCAAAGCAAACATGTTGCAGTTTTGTCATCGTATTTTTTTAAAAAACTTCCATACATTGCTATTTTTTTTTTTACTCATTTTGTAATTTCAAACAATTGAATACGAAATATTAATCAATTAAAACAAAACGTATACAAATACAGAGCATTAGAGCAATAATATAATTGTTCTTTAGTCTTTACTACATACTACACAGTACACGTAGTCGAAAACCATAATGAAAATTAATATTGATATACTAAGTTTATTATACTTTAATAATACTGTTTCACCCCACTTAATCAATTTTAATAATAGTTAGGAATTGTTCAAAAATATAGGATTTAGACATGGGCTTAATCTTTACTCTTATTCTTAGTATTTTAATGCAATAGAGTCAATAAAGGGTCTGATCAAAGGTAATTACTTAATTGAAATATCAACATTAAAAGAAATTCAAATCGTTCCGACATTCTAAAGTCATGTGTTCCAGGAAATACTAATTGACATCTTAAACAGTCATAATATTACTTACGTACGATACGGCATGGAGACCCAGAATTTTATATCAACTAAATAAAATTATCACAAAAGGAAATATGCTCGATTTTATCACAAATTTTCTCAGCCACCGCACTTTCCAAGTTAAAACCTCCAATAACCTTTCTGACTCCTTTTGCCAAGAAAACGGAGTCCCACAAGGTTCAACCATCTCCGTCGCCCTTTTTCTTATAGCGATCAATGACATCACCGAAGAAAGAAACTCTCCCTGTATACCAATGCTATATGCAGATGATTTTACCCTGATCTGCCGTAGCACAAACTTTGCTCTTATTCAACAATTTATACAAAATTCAACTAATAAGCTTATGTCTTGGTCTAAATTGTCTGGTTTTCGTTTTTCTTCATCCAAAACTAACCTCTTAATCTTCAACCAAAAAAGAAAATCACAAAAAATCTCCATCAACATCGGAGACCGCACAATATAAGATCAACCTAGAGTTAAAGTTTTAGGTATAACATTCGACAGCAAAGCCTCATGGATTTCACACATCCAAAACTTAAAAAATTCCATCACCTCCAGACTTAACATAATAAAAATACTGGCCCACACCTCTTGGGGTGCCCAATCTTCTACCCTCTTGAAAAAACACAAAGCCTTTATCCTTTCCAAAATGGATTATGGGGCTCCTTTATTCTCCACCGCCAAAGTTTCTCATTTAAATTCACTGGAGACTATACACAACACGGAATTCGTTTATCCATCAGCGCCTTCCGCTCCAGCCTCATTCCTAGCATCCATGCAATAGCAGGCATTCCATCTCTAGCAACACGATGGGAAGAACAAACGTCCAAAAAAGCAGCCAAAATGTCAAGACTGCCTCGAGACAGCACATATCATCCTAAATACTCTTCTAATAATATATACACAAAATACGATCTCGAAAACATAATTCCGACCGAAACCCCTTTATGTCCACATTGGTCTTTTTCAATGAATATTGACCTAGACCTGCACTAATTTCCAAAAAAGTCCACATGCCCTAACACATTTAAAAACCTATTCAAGGAAAAACTCTCACTATCTCATACTCATACACAAATATACACCGACACTTCTCTCTCGGAGGGCAGAGTTTGTATGGCCATCATTCATGATGACAACCAGATCCAATGGAGACTCTCGGAAAAATACTCCATGTATACAGCTGAAGCTCTAGCTATTTTCAAAGCCATCAAATACACTATTTCAGAAATAAATAATAACAATATCACAATTTATAGTGATTCACTATCTACTCTTACTAGTCTTAAAAATATCCAAAATCCTACCGAAGTAGTCAGAAAAATTCATAACGCCCACTATAAAACACATCTATCAGGCAAAAACATTTCGTACTCATGAATTCCTGATCACTGTTGCATCGATGGTAACGAACGTGCGGACAAGGCCGCCAAACAAGCTCACACAAATACTAATATTCCCTACTCCTTCCTCTTCTCTTACAGCTATATAAAAAAGGTCATCGAAAGGGATACATGTCAACAATGGGAAACACAATGGAACAATATGACCACGAAGCTTAATGAAATTAAAAGATCAATACTACCCTGGACTTTTCCTGTCAACACCCCAAGAAAATACGAAACAGCTATTAACCGCCTCAGAATCGGACACACACGTCTTACACACGCACACTTAATGAAAAAAAGAGGACCCCCCCATTTGCATATGCTGTGGGGTCCCTCTACAAATATTAGACTTTGGAAATGTCTTGGAATCACACCAACAAAAACTTCATTTGAGCATCTTGTTTCTGGAGAACAAATTTACATGTTTGCTGACATTCCACATCTTCTGAAATTTGTTAGAAATAATTTATTGAATAGTGGTTTTATTTTACCGAATCAAACATACGTTGGAAAACAAGTTCTTCAAGAAGTTGTTGGTCTAAACAAAGGAGATTTAAGTTGTGTTTACAAAGTTACAGATCTCCATTTAAATGTAGTAGGATCACAAAGACAAAATGTAAAATTGCAGCCCGGGTATTATCTAATTCAATGCCAAAAGCAATTTCATATTTTGGCCAAAAAAATGTATTGCAATTCCCTAATTGAAAAGAAGTAAATTAATATTATGATAAAAAAATTTATATTTAGACTTAGAAGTTCACATCTATCATTATATACTCTTACTAGTTTCATTATTAATGTTGTTTCCTTCTACCTTCCAATAATGTTATTATAAAATTGTTTAAATGCTTAATTTTTAATTCTAACCAGGCATCAAATGTAATTTGATCATTTTAAAAAAAATGTAGTTTGCCAAAACGTGGTTTTCCATAAAAATTCCTGTTTTCGTAATTCTTTTTTGGTTTTTCCGATGCTTTTAAAAAGTATTGAAATAGTTTGATTTTTGACTTGCCAAAGTATCATCTATATTTACTTTCTTTTCAGAAAAGTTGCTGTTTAAGAAAATCGAAGCACAGGCCACAGTTATAATATGTTGTATAATCATCCTCATTCAATAATCGTCGACATCTATAGTCGAATATATACTAAAATGTCACTTATAACATGTTGAGTTAAATAGTTTGTTTGAACCGGAACGATAAACGTATCTTTTTTACGAACAGGAACACTAAAAAAATCTTTTTTGTGAACCGTTAGTGGTGCCTGTTAAATACAGGATTCACTACTGACTATTAGAGACGTAGAGTATGGAATATAACCCATAATCGATGCTACGCCAGTAAATTGTATAAATTGCAGTTATGTTGTGCAATAATATTACGTTGCACACCATCAAAAGTATACTTGGGAGTTAATTATTGACCTATAAATTATAGTTTAATTGTCTTAACTATCCAGGTACAATTTAATCGAACTAAAAACTTAAGAAATAATTAATGTTTACAAATGAACAACTTAACTAACTGAAAATAACTAATTACTTTAATTCGTATTCATTTCTTTTCGATCGACTATTTTTCATCGGTTAGTTATATTTGAAATTAAATTTTGTTGGTTCATTTTTTATGCAAATATTTTTACAGATTTATTCAGTCGATCATCATCGAATTTTCGAATCCGTTTTAAGACTTTAGACTTCTTTGTACATTATATTTATTTTGTAGAGCATCATAAAGTCAATGAAATTATTGTGTTGTAAAAGTCTATAAACTATTTTCGTAAGCTTGAGATCGCAACACTAAAATACACAGTTTAAAATTACATTAGAAGTGATCAAGAAATAGATATACTCTGGAATGTGTACGGAATATAAACTGAAAACTCACTGGAATCTACTTTGTCACGGAGATTATAACGTGTTGCTATATTCTCTTTGATCATGAGTTTATTTGGTTATGTCTCGCGACGCTTATCGTTATCATTTACAAGCGACAAGAAAATACACTTCGAATTTTTCAAAAATAGTAAATACGAGGATGTGAATGTATTCAGCTAGGTTCAATATTCTTTGCGGTCGATGGTAGTCGTTTCGTTTCTTTTATTCAATGTGAAATTAAAATCAAAAAATTGAAATTTCTACGACTGATATCATTCAAAAATGTTGCGTTTATACAATTTTGATTTGCAAACGAATTTTAGCATGAAATATTTGAACAAAATATCAGTACCGGATGTGCAATATTCTGATCGAAACATTATACCGCGGGTAGAAGAGGTAATTACTAATTGTTTGAATTACAAACTAGAGGATTTTTTTGTGTTCTATTGACTTACTCGAACCGAATAACTTGTTATAGTATTTGAACCGTTTCATGGAATCTTCAAGGAAAAGAAGGTTTCTTGACAAAGAACTAATAGTCAATGATTTACGATCGGCGTATCCAGAATATAACAGAAAGCCTTGGGGTGTTATGTCAAATTTAATTGCTAGAGGTAAGTTTATTGTGAATAACATTTTACCATTAGATAATTTCCTATTTTTTCAGCATTAGCAGCAATTGACAATATGAAAAATGTAAATGATGTAGAAGACAAATCATCTGATGGATCAACTATTGATATTATGTCATCTGGAGAAGAAAATATTGATATTACAAATGATTTAGATCCACCTGAAAGCTCAAATCATTATATCACCGATGTAAACAGTTCAGAAATAGCCCAAGAGTAATCTATCCCAACTATCCTAATTAATTTCATTATTAAACACAGTTAATTATTTATTTTTAAATTATAATTTTAGTATTGGTTCAAATTCATTTGTATGTAATGTACAAACAAATGGTAGCAGTAGTAAACCAGCAGAACATCTTCCTCCGCCTGCTAATGAACCAGAAAATTTGGCAAGAAATTTAATTTTTTTTATTACATTTTATATTGCGAGAATTTATTTATTTATTATTTATAGTCTGGTTGGGTTATCGACAAGACTCCATATAAAAGTATAAAAAGAAAAAATAACTTGGATAAGACTATGGAAGAATTGCCTACACCTTTGAAAAAAGTTTGTCAACAAATGGGGACCGCGGAACGGGTTAATGTGACATTTGATGATTTAGCTGGCTGCGATTCAGTGTTATTGGTACAATATTTATTTATATATAATCTATGTGTTTGCATATCATGTTTTAATCTTATTTTTAGGAAATATGTCAACTAATTATGCATATTAAGCACCCAGAAGTATATAAAACATTAGGTGTGTCTCCACCTAAAGGATTTTTATTGCATGGGCCACCTGGATGTGGTAAAACATTGTTAGCACAGGCAGTTGCAGGAGTATTTATATGAGAATTATTTACTTAATATTGTATCATATTCAATAATTTTTAAATTGGTTGATAGGAATTAAAGATACCTTTGATAAGCATAGCTGCTCCACAACTTGTTGTTGGCATTAGTGGAGAATCGGAAAAACGAGTGAGAAAACTGTTTGAAACTGCTGTAAAGTCTGCACCTTGTGTGCTTTTCATTGATGAGGTTGATTCAATTTCTCCACATAGAGAAACAACTTCACGTGATATGGAACGTAGAATTGTAGCCCAACTACTATCATCTTTAGACAGTGAGATTTTTTATTAATTTCTGTACCTACTACTATAATAGAATAATATACATACACAAACATAATACTATATATATATATATATATATATAAATGTTTAAATATTTTTAATAATATCAGTATAAATACAAAAATTAAAATTAAATTGAAGTTCTTGCCTGAAGTATTATAATGTATTTAATTATTTATGATATTTTTTTTTTCGAAATTAGTTTTAAACATTTGTGGATATTATAAAATAATATTCTAAACAAGAAATTTTATTTTTATTCACTGTTGATATTATTTAAGTATTTAATTATTTTTAATAATACTTTGTTATACATGTCCATTTGTTCATTTATATATATTTTAAATATTTTTTAAGGCTTAAAAGATGATGACAAAGTTATTGTGATTGGTGCTACAAATCGCCCTGATAGTTTAGATCCAGCATTGAGACGAGCTGGTAGATTTGACCGAGAAGTTTGTCTTGGTATACCCGACAGACAATCCCGCAGAGCAATGCTAGATCTTATGTGTAAAAATTTACGAATTGATCCAACAGTTAGTTTGGATAGATTAAGTGAATTAACTCCTGGTTATGTTGGAGCTGATTTAAAATCTCTTACTAGAGAAGCAGCTACTGTATCAGCTAACAGGTATATTATTTCATGCATGTAATTTATTTAAATATGAAAAGTGTATATATTTTATTGTAGAAAATTAGTTGATAAGGTCTTATTTCACATTTCTCATTTTGATATCCTTGTAGAGGAGTGTCTTAAAAAAAAGGACATTATTTTATTATATACTCTACACACATATTGTAAACTGTAATTTACTTTAAAATTATTACTTTTGGCTTACTGATTTAAAAAAAAAAATAACAAATAAAGAGATGGATGAACTTAATTTTCAGTATATAAACACAAGTATTATTATTATTAAACTCTGTATTAATTAAATTAAATATAAAGTAATTTTATACTTAAATACAATAAAATTATGATTACTGTAAGTGCTAAAAGCTTAATATAAAAAAGAAAGTTAAGTCATTAAACTTTTGAGTTGTTAAAGAATGAATTTAAGTAAAATATTTTATATTATTGATCTTCCAGTAGATCTGAAGAAATAGGTTATACTATTTTGATATTGTTTTTAATATTCATAATACAATTTGAGTTCTACATATGAAACTAGACATTTAGAATGACTCAAATAAAGCCATATTATTTAGTTGAAATATTTATTGCAGCCAATTTTTATTATGATTTTGTTAATTATTTGTTTGAAAAAATAGTAATTTTAATTGGATGAATTTCAATGCTATAATTTATATATTGTGTTGTATATTAATTGTTTAAATATTTTCGAGTAAAATGTTTTCGTTATTATATTTATAATCGTTATATTTTACTAGAACCATTGAAGCTATTAAAAAGAGATTACAAGTTATATCTAATGTCGGTACACTAGTTGAAACTGAACAGCTATTGGGTTATAACAAAAATACAATGGTTAAAGATACCTTGAATTTGCTACGCTCTGATAATGTCATCTCAATAGATGAAGTGAGTCAAACGCAAATCACATTAGATGATTTTAAAGAAGCTCTTAAGAAAGTTGTCCCTTCGTCCAAAAGAGAGGGCTTTGTCACTGTGCCCAATATTACATGGGACGACATAGGTTCTTTAAAGAAAATTAGACAAGAATTACACATGGCTATGTTGGTTAGTATATTGAAAAGTTTCAGTTTTTCATTTTTTAACATACATTTGTTATATATAATATTGATTATGATTGATTATATTTATTTATATTATTATATTAGATTATATTAAAGTAAGTTTTTTTTTCATTTTAGGCTCCTGTAACTCATGCTAAAGAGTTTAATGCATTGGGTTTAGATGTTCCTACTGGAGTATTGTTATGTGGACCACCAGGTTGTGGAAAAACACTGTTAGCCAAAGCTGTTGCAAATGAAGCTGGTATTAATTTTATATCTATTAAAGGTCCTGAACTATTGAACATGGTAAGTATAATAGTAGTATAATTATATTTTTCTATTATTTTGATCACCATTTAAGATTATAAAATGGTATTACATCCTTGTTATTTCAGTTACTATTGCACTATTTTCAAACCATTTACCACTTATCGAATATTTTTGCCTTTTTTAAACTTACTTTTGCAACTGTAGTGTCTTGATAGCTATTATTTTTTAAATTAAAAGTTTTTGACTAAATTGTTGATAAATTCATAATTTTAAATCTCAGTTTTTCTAGAAAATAAATAAGTTATCTTTCATTATTCGAAAATCAATTTGTATAAGTCTATATTTAATATCAGTTAAATGAAATAATGAAAAAGTATTTTATAATATTGTTTCATTGTAGTTTTACTTTATTTAAGCTAATCAATGTAATTTTTGTTTAGTATGTTGGTGAAAGTGAAAGAGGGGTACGTCAATGTTTCCAAAGAGCACGTAATTCACAACCATGTGTGATATTTTTTGATGAGATTGATGCACTTTGTCCGAAACGAAGTGACATGGATGTATGTATAATTTTAATGTTAATATTGTTTTTCAATATTAAATATAAATAAATAAATAGGCGAATGGTCGTTCTGGTCAACGTGTTGTCAATCAATTGTTAACTGAAATGGATGGTTTTGAAGGTGCTCGAAGTGGTGGTGTATTTGTTATGGGAGCAACTAACCGACCCGATATGATTGATCCTGCTGTACTTAGACCTGGTCGTTTGGATAAAGTTTTATATGTTGGATTGCCAGATGAAGAAGGGCGTGTAGACATACTTAAAGCTGTGACTAAAGTAAAATACATTTTGGTTAGGTTTTTCTAAAGTTTACTTAAATGTTATGTAATTTTAGAACCGTACAAGACCAGTGTTGGCAGACGATGTAGATTTGGAAGCAATTGGAAAGAACGAAAAATGTGCACACTTCACAGGAGCTGATTTAGCAGCTCTTGTTCGAGAAGCAGGGATTTTATGCTTACAAGAGTATATAACCTCCAATGAACTAAACAAAAAATTAGCCATCCAGAGTAAACATTTTGATGATGCAATGATGAAAATTAGACCTTCGGTTTCTGCTGAGGTATTTAGTTATATTATGTATTTCTTTTTTAATTTTTATGAAAAACAATACTATATTTAATGGTAGAATTACCAATAATAATAATAATTATAAGTTGTTAGTTACAGATAATAAATGATTATTTAACATTTATGTTTATGTTGGAAGTTTAATAAACAAAAATATTAGCATTCAAGTGTAAAAACATTTAAAAATATATGTATAATATTATAATTACAATTAATTTAAAAAATAATTATAAAATCAAGTTAATAAAAAAAATAAATAAATTAAAGTTTGTATGTAAAGTAGATTTTTATTAATAAATTCTGATTATAATTATACATTTTAAAATAACTGAACTGTTACCCACAGTTTACTTTTTACTCTAAATTTTTAGATATTCTTTATTTCATGTATAATAATTTATTTATTTATTATTTGATCCTTTTTTATATACTCTAATTATTATAAAAATAAAAATATGTTTTATATGTATATTAGTCTTTATATAAAGGCATTGGTATGGCCAAATTGACAAAGCAGCAATATCTAACCGTATTGTTGACGATTTAAACCCAACTATTAGTAGTTCTGCTTTCTTAATAGATGACCGTCTCTAGAGACTAATCGCCATTAGGGTATAGAAGGTAGTTTTCTTCTAACATTGTAAATAAGATTGAAAAATAAATGTTGAGATACAATCTTTTAAATAAAATATTAGTTTATCTAAAATGAAATAATTATTTTTATGAAAATGGAAGAACTTAAATGTAAATTTAATTTTAACACTACAATAATCTACTTCAAAAAACGTTTTGTACCTTTTAGTAAAATTATGTTTTTTTTTCACATATTTTGGTTATTATTTATTAAACAAATATTAATAATATGTTTTTGAAAATTTATAATTTTGTATTTATTTTTCAGGATCAATTACATTACGAATTACTGAAATCGCAATACGCCGCACCAAGATGTTGAAATTAATGTAATTTCACTGACAAGATTGAAATGAAAGATATTATTTATAAACGCTAATATATCTTAAAAAACAAATGTTTGTTCCTGTTAATTATTATTTTTATTTTGTAATTCCTTGTTGGACCATAATTGTATTAGTTGTTTCGAGTAACTGATGAATCTGTTTTGAATTGTTAACATGATACACTGTGTGTACATTGAACATTTTATTAAAATATCCAATTAGCTTGTCCCCATTTTGCAAACTATTTCATAACAATAAAATCAAATCAAAATCGGTTTAATATTTTTGTAGGATAACTAATGTTAGAAATGTCTAACCTAACGACGGAATAGCTGTGGCGAGTCGTGAGTTTGTTGTTGAAATGATGTACGATGTTGTGCTGCAGTAATTTCAACCGTTGTATCGGTGTTGTTCAAGGCCGGATTAAGGGGGTGGTCTAGCCGAGTTAGGTTAGGTTAAGTTAGGCCCTCTCAAGTATCCAAGTGATAGGGGCCCAAACAATTTTAAGCCGATACACAATTTTTTAACATACTAAAATTAATAGTCTTATAGACATATTGTATATACAATGCCGTAACTACAATTTTAAAGCCCAGGTGCAAAAATATTTTAGAGGCCAATCATCATCACTTAATCATCTTAAATATTAGGAATATAGAAAATCATATATGAAAAATTAATTCAATTATCTCACAGTTCCGGTTCTAAAGATCGTAAAATGCTGCATTTGAAATCGTGTACATTTATACGCATATATGTGTACAATGAAATTGTATGTATATGTTACGGGTAATGTTAACATTTGGATAATGTCGACATTATCCGTCTAAAGTCCACATTAGCCAACTGTTATCATTACCCGCCATGAATATTATTAAATGTTGGCTAATGTTAACATTAACCGGATAATATGATATTAGCCAAGGACTTTTGGATAATGTCTTAATAACCAGAAAAATTTAACTGTTTAATTGAGATCAACCTGACAACGACTATTTATTTCTGAATGAATTATTGGTTTAACTATAAGGCCTTTTCGTTTAGATGACAGCTTTGTTTGGCAGGGTCGGCAAAATTTTAAGAATATAAGTACAACTTCTTGAGTCAAATTTTTGTATTTTTTTTTATTTCTGCCATCATTCAATGTTTACCACCATAACCAATATTAAGATATATCTCATTTAATATGTCATATAATTCATCATTTTTTACGTAATATAGTAAATTAGTACTACCTTTTTTAATAGGTTCTATAAGTGTCTCTTCTCCTCCGATATTAATAATTTCAAATTTATTCAAACCACAAGATTTATTGCCGCCTTTCAATTCATTAACTAAATTCAAATATTTCTATAGTTATAGAATTTATAGTTCTATATATACTCTATAGTTTATACTGAATACGCAATACTAATATATCGTTTTTTTAAATTTATATTTTGTAACTTCGGTTTTATTTAGCATTAATAAACAATAAAGATCAGATAAAATTACAAGTATTTCACAGTAAATAACTTTAAAATAGTTCACATCAAATCGATAGCAATCGAGCCAGTATGAAAATTAAAATAGATTGAACATCTTAGTATTACTATGTAAAAATTATGTGTTTATAATTAATTCATTGAATTATATTGTATATACCTAATTAATTATACACAATAGGTTTTATACTATAGACATAGTATAGTATGTACAGTCTGTTTTATTACTCACAGTGCTATATTTTTCATGAAGGTGTTTAAAAATAAATATATATTTCAAATATTTTTGTGGTACTCTAGGGTGCCGCGGCACCCTGGTTGGGAACCTTTGCCATACATCGATATATTGTTTTTTTTTATTGGTAAGATAACTGACTAACTCGGTTACAAGTCAAGATAAGATATTATACTCTAGAAATCCGACGCTTTATTATTGTATAGGATGCTAATAAAAACCAATGATGTAGTGCTAAAAATACAAGTGGGTATACTCCAAATTCTGTCAAAAATAAAATCTCCACAGTAAAAATATGATGTAGGGGCTTCGTCCCCCTTAAGATTTCTTAAAAATATAATTTCTTAATTATCAATTACCTATGAACTAACTTACAATATTATTTATTTTTAATGTAATACAACTCAATGCTCTATTATGATATAGTTTATATGTTGTGCTTGAAAAAATGTTACAGCCATTTCACACACAACAACAATTTACATTTTCATTTTTATTTATAGCAACTATATACTTATAAAATATTGCATAATAATTGCACTTATTGCAATATAATTTTCAAGTGATACTTAATACATGACGAATTGAGATGAACGAAAATAATACATTACAATTTATATGAAACACCAATGTAAAATTGTAAACTGACGAATGTTAATATATTTTTAAAATAAATAAAGAAACTAAAGAGTGGTTATACGCATGTACACGGCTGTGAACCATGGATTTGGGTTTTTTTTATTGAGTACACGCATATTCTGAAAAAATAGAAGTGGGTACACGTCGTGTACCCCCATGTACCCTCCACTACACCACTGATAAAAACTCTATAGTCTATTTAATATACGACTTTTAACATTATCCGGATAATGTTAATAATTCCTGCTTATAAACGAAAAATTACACATTAGCTATAACATATGGATAAAGTCGATTCTAGCCGAATAATGTTGACATTATCCAAATGTTAACATTACCCGTAACATATATATGAAATTTACGGAATCCGAAGCCCCCAATACAAATATTTTAAGGCCCATCAGACTATGTCTTGCACCACTTGCATCTGCGGCAATTGTAGCACTGTGTATGTACCTATTAATTTTATAATTTTATAATGCAATTGACAATTTGTGAAATAGTTTAAAAAAATGTATCGTTCTGCGAGTGTAGCGAGCAGCTTTGTAAAGCATGTTTTGTCAAAAGGGCCCATATAAAATTTCAGCCCGGGGGCCCAATAAGTGCTTAATCCGGCCTTGGTGTTGTTATACGGGTGCGTATCAGACGTTGCTGGGACGCGCCAGGGAAATGTTTGTGGTGTTTGCGAAGTAGATTTCCGATGGTGCGAGTTTTGCTCATTTCAAGTTGTTCGCCGCCGCACAGTCAGCCTGACGGTTATAACGAAACAAAATCGTCACGTCCCGCCACAAGTTGCGATATTGTTTTTTAGCTCTCCGTCTCTTGTCCGCCCGGGAAATTATATTATCCACGAGTGCGGGTGATGGGGGGACGTGCAGATGTTCGAGGCGCGACACCTGTGCGGTCTCGGGGACGCGTATGATAATTAAATGTTTTATATATTTATTATTATAATACCGAGGATTTTATACGCCGCAGGTTCGCCGATTTGTATTATTCTCTCAGCGCCTTTGCCGCCCAACGCCCTGTTCCACCCGTCGCCGTACCGCGCCCGAGGGGGATAGAACGTAAACAATGCAAATATGTCTTTGTTTCTCGACGCGCCAAATGTTACCGCGTGCTACGTGCACAGGTATATTATAATATTCCACACCGTACAACGACGACACGAACACGGTTCTCGCACATCGGCCCCGTTCCGATACGATGGTCATGGGCGCGACTAGAGCCCAAATATTGGGGGTGCTGAAATTGCTGAAAATAAAATTAAATGGTATTTAACTGTAGACCAACTATAGATTATATAGGTATTGTTAGCTTGAGTAATTAAACATCCGCTCCTGAATCAACTAGCGGAAATTACTTATTAATATTTCCAAATTATGTAATTTCGATATCGATATGGTTATAAATGTTGAATTATTTAGAAATAGGCTGTTTAATATTATTGAATTTTTATTAAATTGTTACACCAATATGGTGAATTATTTTTATATATTTTTTGAAATGTTTATTATTATTTATATATTATAAATTATTATGCTATTATAATTTTAATTTTGTAAACTGATATGTAACATACGTTTTGCTGCTGTAAATTGATTTTTTATAAATGGAGTTTACTCCGTATATAATAAATAAATAAATAGCTTGATTATATTATATACTAAGAAAATTATAAAAAAAAAAAAAAGCGGTTATAAATATAATATAAAGCATTTAATAAAAAAAACGTGGACATCATATGGAATAGATTTATTCATTAAAACTGTACGAGACAACGATGCACTAACGGTTTTAAAATAATTAAAAAAATGGTGCACGCAGTGCCGGTTATAACAGTAACCGGCGCTAGGGAAGGACAAATGGAACATTTGTTCAGGGCCCCGCGCTTGTTAAAGAGCCCCGTGATTTTTAATTATCATCTTTATACCGTGAGACACATTGACATTTTATATCAATAAATTATAAATCTATATTGGAAAGCGATATCTAAATTTAACTATAGTACAAAGTAAATCGTTATCAGTACGACGAAAGAGTAATATTTTGACGATACCCATCGAGTAAGATTCCTACAATAAATAATAATGAAAATATTTATTATCTCTATAGGTAGTTACTGTTTTTTATTTGGAAAGGCTTTCCGCGTATTGTCGTATGCCTGTATCATCGTATTATATAGAAGGGGAAAAAGCTATATTCTTAAAATATTTATTTGATAATCTAACATTAAGTTCGACATTAATTGAATATTTTACCGCAGTCCGATTTGCACGTTCCTGTATTTTTACAACAATTTCTGCATATCACAAAAGCAAGTTTTCATTTCATGAAATTATACACTTTAGAGTATAGCCGTATAAAATAAGGTACTGCGTGAGTATCTACAGTGTATCAGGAATCAAAATTAGTTTTAATATTTATTGTCTACCGTCGTATATTGTTTTATTCTGCCTGGTGCGGTCACGTACTTAAATATTAAACAACTCATTATTTTACTTAAACATTTTGATATGTATTACCCAATAATATTATTTTTAGTGTTTAATATTCGAAGAAAAACAGTATTTTTTTTTAAAAATCCTGATTAAAAAAAAAAGCTAGAATTTCGTCCCTCTCTGGGAATCTAAAGGCCAATATCTATGTCTAGGGCTCCGCAATCAATGGTGAATCCAGGATTTGATTTTTTTTTGGGGGGGGGGGCATAGTCCAGAACGTAAATTTCAAATTTTTTTAGTAATTAACAAATAGGTACATACAAATAGACGATAATTTTAAATGTGTATTTTTTTTATTTGTTAAAGATTATATTTAAATTATAATAATATTGGAAGAAATGTATAACGATAAAGATAATTGTAATATTCTAGGATTAGATTTTGTAAACATATCTAATACTTCAGGTTTTACATACATTTGTT